AAAAAAAAAAAAGATTTTATTTATTTATCTGAGAGAGAGAGAGAGAACTCATGCACAAGCAGGGGAGGGGCAAGGGCGAGAGAGAAGCTTGTTCCCCGCTGAGCAGGGAGCCGGATGCGGGACTCGATCCCAGAACGCTGGGATCATGACCTGAGCCAAAGGCAGATGCTTAGCTGACTGAGCCACCCAGGCGCCCTGGCTGTGAGGATTTTTATTTACACTGAAAATTAAAGCAGAGCCTATTATAGACTGACAGGCTGGATTATATTTGACTATATCGTCCTTAAAAAAAAAACCTAAAGAAATGTGTTAAACGTTTTATTTTAATGCTTTTGGGCCTTGCCTCATAGTTATCTATTTACATCTGGTATCTGGGCAGACCTCAATACACAAATTAGATATATAAATGAAAAATCCTCTAATATAAAAGCTTACCTGCAATTGTAATAGCTTAGTTCTGGTATATTTGTTACAAATGACGTTAGACCCCAAATATTCGACAATCACATTTAATTGTCTGTCTTATCATTCCATTTCCTAATCTTGTCTCAAAACCTCTGCTAATGCTAGATTGTTAACACTTAACGACATGGCGATAAGAGTCTGTCCATAGAGTTAATGTTTTCCTTGCAAGTAGTTTCCAAAGCAACTCTTCTGGTTCAGCGAGTTGGTTAGGTGTAAGTCCAATGATATAGTTTAAATATTCTCAATTTTGTGGCCACACTAGAATTTGACACCAAGCTGCCGTGTCCCAAATGCTCAGCTGCAAGTTGTGCTCGTAGTGGGAGGGGAGAGCTGGGCTGAACCGTGGGCTACATACTGTCTTGCCAAAGAGTTGTAATTCATTTTGAATTTTTCTGTCCACCTCTATTAAAAATATCTAAAACTAACTAAGCCAAATTCCTAAACCACCTACGAAAATGAAACTGTGCACAAAGATGTTGCAGACATAAGAGGGAAGGTTGGTCCTCTGTACCCCCTGAGACCCCCACCATTGGTTCCAAACTCTATTTTTTTTTTCTTAGCAACTCAATACAGAAAGACTAGACCACACCAGTGGTTTGTGCTGTGTCTCACTGTTTGAGAAATTATTTCCATGAACCCACAGTAATAGTCTACTAAAAATAAAGAATCCCTGTGCATTCCTGAGAATGGAATTTTTAAACCTATATCCTATTAAATATTCACCCAACATATTTGTCATCAAGACAAAGAAGTGTGTGAATGCTTATCTGCTCTTACCATTTCATCTCAACTGCTTTTCCACAAAGAGGAAAAAATACTCTCAGTCCATTCTCGCCCTTAAGGAAAGTATCCAAATGCTTCTTTAATAGCCTGGGGAGGAAAAAATATATTTTTGTTTTCGTTAGCCCAACGCACGGAGGGAAGGACTATACTCGAATGACGCTAAGTACTCTTCATGCATTATCTCTGAATATTCCCCACAACTTTACAGAGTAGAAAACAAAACATTCGTTATTATTCTCTCTAGTTTATATATGAAGGAAGAGGGAGGTGAACTAAGTCGCTGCGTCACATAGCTAGTGAGTAGGTAATCTGACTTAACCCTGGGGCTTTCCTCATTAGTAACTTAAAGTTCTTTTTTCTTGATGCTTTGAAAATTCTTTATTAATTTCCTGAATATGTATGTATGTGTGTGTGTGCGTGCGTGTGTGTGTGTGTAAAAGAGAGAAAGAGAGATGGGGCGCCTCTGGACTCACCGAATTCTTCAACATTCGTTTTATGGGAAGCTCTCTAAACATGGACTCAGGTCTCAGACTCTGAAGCTCTGGGAAGTTTAACTCCCCCTGTAGACACATGGTTCTTCTAAGGTCACCCACATGACAAAGATAACCCATACAATGGCTCTGGGAAGATGCCCCATCTACCACTCAGTGTGGCCCAGATATACCCCTGCTGTTCCGAAGCCTACTACTACTAACACACTGCTCAACACCCTTGCTCACGTATTAACTTCTCTCAGCTTCTCTTCCTCCACCACATAGATAACACTTTACGTTTGAACACATGCTGTCGGAAAGCAAAGTCAGAACACCACCACTTTTCATGGGGCGCCTGGGTGGCTAGTCAGTTAAGCGTCTGCCTTCAGCTCAGGTCATGATCCCACGGTCCTGGGATCAAGCCCACATCGGGATCCCTGCTCAGTGGGGAGTCTGCTTCTCCCTCTCCCTCTGCCCCCCATCCCCCATTGTGTTCTCTCTCTCTTTCCGTCAAACAAAGAACACCACCACTTCTCAGTATAAAGAGATATACACATTAATGTGGGCATCTGCTGTATATATAAACATGCGTGACCAATACACAGATGCTATGGGGGCTTAAAAGAAAGATGTATTTCATAAATCTCGGATGCCTGCAACTGTAAGTCACACTATTATTTATATGCCCTGGGAAGAGGTAAGATTGCCGACTAACCCATGACGTGCCTGAGATGCTAAAACATGAAAAACTAAACACGTGCTTTGTAAAATCACTCCAATAATGTGTACCTATATTACTATTTCTATTTCCAAAGCCAGTTTCTGATAGAGCATTTCTCTATCATAAACCAAACATTTCTTACTGATGTCCTTGCTCTTGATGGAATCCAATTTTGCGGCTCACCCACTTTTCTTGCCATTCTTCCAGAGTCAATACTCGGTCTTTCTGTACCTCGGTATCGGGGTACTCTTTAACGTCAAGTAAAGTTCTTGTATCATCCATGGTTGCAGAGACACCTTTGCCTTGCAAGCGGATGACTCCAATGCCTGTGCAGAAAATATTTGCAATGTTGTCATTTAAGGGCATTGCAATTCTACTGATGAATGGAAGAAAAACTGATTATCCTTAGCAGTCTGGCTTTTAACAATATTTCAACATCCAAGGAAAAACCATCTGAAAAATTACTTCCCAGTGAGTCTGATGGTAGAGGCATACCTCATATTACATATTAGGAAGGAGCTTTAAATAAACAGAATTATGTCTTAGTGTCAGAGTCCAAAGGGCTTAAGTTTTAAAAAAAGGAGAGGACAAAAAAAAAAGAAGAAGAAACAGGCAGGCCACACTTGATCATTTTTGTAAGCTTAGAATTTTTCCTAGCATCTCACTCTTTAGTTTTTAACATTTGATTTGAAGTTTACTTATTTTTTTATCTATTATAATGCATATGATTTAAAGAGTTTCAGAGTTATTTATTTTTAAGATTTTGTTTATTTATTTGAGAGAGAGAATGAGAGAGAGAGAGAGAGAGAGAGCACATGAGAGGGGGAGGGTCAGAGGGAGAAGCAGACTCCCCGCTGAGCAGGGAGCCCGATGCGGGACTCGATCCCAGGACTCCAGGATTATGATCTGAGCCGAAGGCAGTCACCCAACCAACTGAGCCACCCAGGCGCCCCAAGAGTTTCAGAGTTATAAAGATAGCAGTCTCTATTCCCAATGAGAAAGGCAACCATCTTGAACTCTTTTAGCTGAGTCTTGAAATCTCTGTATCTCAAAACAGCATGCTTATTTTCTATCTTCCTGGTTTTTCATTTCTAGGTAGCATGGAGAGAAGATACCCATTTTGCTCTCTTTCAACTTCCCAACACACACACACCACCTTCTCATTTTCCCCATCCTTTCAACATAGACACAGCCTATTTATTTTTAAAGTTTATTTATTTAGTTAAGTAAGCTCTCCATCCAACGTGGGGCTCAAACTCCCAACCCCGAGATCAAGAGTTGCTTGCTCCTCCAACTGAGCCAGCCAGGTGCCCCCACATAAACACAGCCTATTTTTGATTAAATATTTGGGGTACACACGATTATGACCAGGTAAATATTATTCACAGCAAAACCACATAGTATTCTATGATTACTTTTCCTTTTCTGTACAACTTTTTTATTCTGCAGTTAATAACTGCCTTGCTTTTTCATTTATAAGATTCCTATGTACTGGTCACTAATTCAACTCCAAGCTCCACCAATTATCCCAATATCCTATCAATACACTCTCAATCTCTTCAGTTATCAGATATCCTACCAATATCACCCTCTTGGAGAAGACTCTCCAGAGGCTTCTGACCTAGATGCTCTCCACTCTTATTGCATAGCTAGGATTCTGGGATCTCTCTTGATCATCATCCTGGAGAGTTCTTTATCTTTTGATGAAATCTCCTGCTTCTTTTATTCTATGCTTTCCTTTTTTTTTTTTTTTTTAAGTGTCCTTATACTGGTGAAGCACAACCTCCAACAGCTTTCTGAGAAAGGGTGCATAGGAGAAAAGGTTTTTGCGACTTTGCATGTCTTCATACTATTCTCAATTCTTGATGTGTTTTTTTTTTTTTTAACATATAATGTATTATTTGTTTCAGGGGTACAGGTCTGTGATTCAACAGTCTTGCACAATTCACAGCGCTCACCATAGCACATACCCTCCCCAATGTCTATCACCCAGCCACCCCAACCCTCCCCCCCCCCCACTCCAGCAACCTTCACTTTGTTTCCTGAGAGTAAGAATTCCTCGTATCAGTGAGATCATATGATACATGTCTTTCTCTGATTGATGTGTAGTTTTGCTGGGTATAGAATTCTTGGTCAGAAACCATTTTTTCTTCAATTTTGAAAAAGTCATTCCATTGTCTTCTAGTTTCCAGAAATATTGCTTAAGTTCAAAGACATTCTGATCCTGATATTTTCCATGAGGCCAATATGCTTTTTTCTCTTGCAAAGCTTTTCTTTGCCCCTAGTTTTTCCAATTTCATAATTCTATGCCTTCTTTTGTGTCTATTTTCAACCATTTGGCTGAATTCTTTTAATCTGGAAGGTCCTATCTCTCAATGCTGGAAAAAATCTTGAATTATTCACATAACAATTTATGTCCCTCTTTTGTTTCTATTTCTTTCTGGGACCCCTTTTATTTGGCTGTAGAACCTCATGACCTAGTATTATAAATTTCTCATATTTTTTTCTATTTTCCAGCTCTTCGTCTTTTTGCTCCATTTTCTCAGTGACTGCCTTAATTTTTATCTTTCTACCTTTCTATTTAGTTTTTAAATAAAAATTTTTTCTCCTGCTATCAAGGCTTTAATTTTCAAGAGCATATTTTTTTTTGTTTCTGATGTTCTTTTTATATTATATTGTTCTTATTTCATATACAGAATGGATATAATATTTTATCTGCATAGTCTGCTGCTTACGAGTCACTTTTTCTGTTGGTTTTTCTTCTGTCTTTCCAACTAGTGACTTTCCTCAAATGCATACAATTATTATTACCTGCTCATGTTTAAGAGTAGTACTAAAAAGCTGATTAGATGTTTAAGTATGTGGGTGGGCTCACTGACCGCAAGCTTCACTGGAAGGATGATATAAATGGATTTCATGTGGAAACCTAGATAGCATTATTTTTATTTTCTTTTGACTGGTCAGACTTTCCATAGATGGCTCTCCCAACCCCTGTTGTAAGGATCAAGTCCTTGGGGGCCATGGTCGAATACTCACATGAGAAAAGGATAGAAGTGAGAGAGGGTCCCAACATTTGGTTTGCCTGTGTTCAACTAGTCTCCATTTTCAGTATGGTACTCAAAGCCCCAACTGTGTATTTGTCTCTCCCCAGTCCAGAGAGTCCTTACCTTCTGCAGGGAATAAAGCCTCCCCCCAGACTCTGCTGGTGCCCCTAGAGACAGGCAGTTACCTTGTTGCAGGGAGTTGGGAAAGGGATCTGGGGATTTAGCCTTTTCTGAACCAAAATTTCAAGCAATGCTTCTAGTTTTAATCATACCCCTTCCACCTCCTGGAGGAACCTGGTACCACTAATTCCTGAGCATTTGGGGTTTCTATAACGCAAATAGGGTTGTTTATTGGCTTTCCCCATTGCTGGTTTAGAATTTAGCTTTCTTCAGTCTGCAAAATCCTTTACCACTTGCCCATCTGCTTTCTGGATTTCAAAATTTTATTGCATTTGTCTCCTCATCTGTTCTCCCTACCCTAGTGATTTATGCCTTTAAAAAACCCTGTTGTTGTTTTGATGGGGTTTCAGGAGGGAGTGAAAGTAGATATGTGGGTTTGATGTCCTATCTCTATTCCATAAGTTGGTATTTTCAAATAATTTTCTTGTAGTTCCTTTTTTGCATGGGAAAATGCACACAAAGGAACTGAGAAAAAAAGGACACCTAAACATAACTGCAAATCTATCTGAAGGTATGAGGAAAATGTCTGTCCTTTCAATGTGAACTCTGTAACACTAAGGACAATATAACTTGATTAATTCTAACATTCCCTTTGAATCGTGATACTAATTTAGTTTGGATTGTACTAGCATGGTATTATTGGCGGGTCTAATTTAATGATTTATCAGTGAGAACAGCAAACATCACCTACAAGCAGGTATTTCAGGAAAAGTTCCCTTTATTGCAAAATTTGGTTCCAGGGGCCTTAGGATTTAAGGAGAAGGCACACCCTACCCCCCGCCCCTTTGGAATTGGGAACATAAATTCACTTCTCAGAAAATACTTGTTAACAAATGCTTTTGCAAGGTCCTGTTGATGTCAGGAGGTGACTCAGTTTTCTGAGAGGTCAGAGGGAAGCATCTGATTATATTGGGTACAGAAAAACAAAAGAGAGTTACAGTTTTCCCATCTACATTTTCAGTCAGAAACTGGAACCTGAGATTGTGCTTTCATAAAGCAGTTCTCTACTCAAAACAAAAGGGAAGCATAATTTCATCCTAGAGCCAGTGCAACCTGGAATTGGACAATTCTATCTCTTTCACACAAACTTGAAATGTAAGTTAACATCATGTATATAACTTAACCACTTCTTAGCTGTTCTAGTAGCATCTCAACGTGTACTTGCCCGCGTGCTTTTCGAGAGAAATAAAAAGTTTCTTTCTATAACAAGATAAAAGTGCAAATTATAAGAATCAGGAAAGGCAAAGTTCACAACTGTTCCTACCCACACACGGAAGCAGCAGATGTGCCAGTTTGGCCCCCTAAGTGCTCTTTGGATGGACTCTCAAGTCTGGCTTCCTCTGTCACCTTTCCAAAAAAACAAGTTTCTGCTTTAGATTTATTTTTAAACGTTAAATTGAATAACTTCTCTAAAGTGCGCAGATTTTGAGTATGGCTCAGTGAATTTTTAGATATGCATACACGTGTGTAACAACCTTGGAGCAAGACAAAATATTTACAGCACCCCAGTTCCCAATCCCCCGCCCCCACCCTCGCCCCCAGAGCATCACTCACTATTTAGCAAGTACTTCTCTTTTCTTAAAAACCGCTAATACAGAGCGATGCTTTGGGGGCGCTTTAAATCATGAACTCAGGTCATGCATTGCCCGACCTCGTTATTCCCAGGCCCCATTCTGCTTCCTGAACCCCATTTCGGGGCGCGGATTGCTGGGCTGTCCACGCTGGTCAGGATGCCCCAGTCCAGAATCCCGATCACAGGCTCGCACCTAGCAAG